TTTAATTTTAATAAAATAGTTTTATACGTATCTTCTAATTTTTTTCTCATTTCTCGATGTCGTTCCTCTATACCTCTAAGATCTTCAGCTACTTTTTGTTCCATTTCTTCGCGAATTTCTTTTACCATAATCTCTATTATTTTTTGAAAATCTGTACTATCGTTTGAATGTGTACGCGGCGATAAATTTAATTCAGCAAATACTTGTTTTTGATTCTTAACGTATTGTTCGAATTGTTTAGCTTGATTTTTTAACTTTGAAACAAGTTGATCTCTTTCTATTTTTACTTTTTCGAACTCTTTTAATCTTTCTAATTCTTCATTTTTGTCTTGTAAATCTGTTTCTAATTGTTTGATTCTTTGCTCCATAACAAGATCACCTTTTCTTCCAGCTTTTAAATGATTTATTTTACTACTTAATTCTGCTACTAAAGTTTTATAGCGAGAAAGTTCTTTTTCAAGTTCATTTGAATTTAATGATATTTCACTATTTTTTTTAAACGTATTCTCGAAATTTCCAATTAATTTTTTCGCTTCTAATAATTCTATTTCTAATTGTGAGATTTTATCTTTATAAACACTTATTTCACTAGTCAAATTCTCACACTTATTTTTTAAACTTTCATTTTCTACTTGATATCGAGCTTCTTTTAATTTTATTTCATCGGAATTTTCAATTGTTATAGTTCGTTTAATATTAGATAATTCTGATTCAAGTTTGAAAATTTTACTATTAAGATTATTTTTTTCGCTAATTGCTCTTTCATATTTCTTTTTCCATGATTCTTGAGATATTTCTATTTGTGCTACTTTCAATCTAGCATCATCTAATTCAGACTGATATTCTACAATTTTTTTATGTTCATCAAGAGCAACATGCAATTTGTCTTCTAAACGTTTACAATCTTCTTCAAGCTATAAATATATTAAATTTTACAAAAATTTATAAATGACAAATAAAATTAAAAAATAATTGTAAATAAAATATATATACCTGATTAATTTTCTCTAAATGTTCAGAACAATGATCTGATAAATAAACACTTATTTCTTGATTAGGGTGAGCATTGCGTAATTCATTTAAAGCTTGTTCTTTTGCTGTAAATATTACATTTATAATAATTAATTTATTAAAATTTTAAATATAATAAAAAATATATAAATTACCCTTTTCAATTTCTTGATGAATTTTCTTTGTATATTCTTCTTTTTTCTTTCTTTCATAATTTAAATCTTTTTCTAATTCAATTACTTTACTTCTATATGTATCGCATTCTTCTGTTAATTTTTCTGCTATTTTAACTTGTGCCCGCAAGTCATGTTGATATTTTTCAATATCATTTTCACGATCTTCTAAGTTAGCATATTTTTCTTTTAACATTTTAATTTCAGATTTATGTTCATTTATTAACTGCTCTTTTGTACTACAAACATCTATATACAATTCCTTAACACGATCCAACTCTTTTTGTGTTTGTTCTAATTGCACACTATAAATTAAAATATTTTATATAATATAATATTAAAAAATAATAATATATAATAAAATATAATTTCTCAGAAACAATTTTAATTACTTACGATAATTGCACTATTTCAACTTTTGCTTCTTGTCTAACTCTTTCTATAGCCTTAGCATGTATTTCTAAATATTCTTTATTATATTCATCAATTGCATCTTTCTGTTGTTGATTTATGCTTTCTTGATATAATTTTTTGAGCGTTTCTTCATTAACTGCTAATGTTTCTTCTAATTTTTGTTCTAATTTCATTTTTTCTTCTCGTAATAATTCATATTGCTTTTTTACATCACTAAGATGATCAGATAATTTTTGTATTTGAGCATTTGCTTTTAAAGCTTCATCTGTAAGTACAGATTTCAATTCTTGTTCTAATTCATTAACACGTTTAGCATATCGAGTTGCTTCTTTTCCACATGTATCTGCTATAATTAAAGCTTTATCAAGTTCTTTTTCTTTTTGTGATAAAGTATTTTCTAATCGAGTTATTTCCTTTCTTTTAACTGCCTGCCCAGCTAAACATCTATAACATAATTATATAATAAATATTAATAACATAATAAAAAATTGATATTCTGTAAATGATAATATAATATGATATAAAATTATTTTAGATAGAAACAAATAACCTTTTTAATTCTCCTCTTAATTTATTTGTTACATCATCATAGGGCTTTGATTTTGATTTATTATGAAAATCGCCTAATTTCATTTGTTTAATAGAATCAGATTCTTCTTCTAATGTTGTTGTCAGTAACGAATCATATTGTGCTGCATCACTTTTTGCTATCTCTAATTTATTCTATAAAAACAATATTATTTGTAATATCCTTATAATATAATAATTATAATTTTTGTTAATAAACTATTGTTTAGATATGAATTAATGTATTAAATACCTGTAATTCTTGAATCATTTTTTGCATTTCTTCTTTTTCTTGCTTTAAAACTTTAATCTGTGCTTGAAGTTGCATTACTTGTTGAGCATTATTTGTAGCCATAAGATTTCTACATTGTGCTTGACTTTCTTCTAATGCTTGTGCTAAACGATTCATTGTATCTCCTTTTTCTACCATAAGCGTTTCATTTGTCCTTCGTACATCAGCTAATTTATTTTCCAAATCAGCGTATGATATTTCCTATTGAAATTAAAAAGATCAAATAAAGATGATATTCATTTATAAAATAATTCAATTCATAAAGTTATAATAAACAATTTTTTAAATATAAATTTTAATCTTCAGTAATGGTATTATGCAATAATTAAAAAAATAATATAGCATATTAATTTTTATACAAGAACATTATAATTTTTGAAAAATACAGTATCAACAACTTGCCCAGATACAATGACTGTTGGAATCCACATTGAGCAGCTATGACAAATATTATTAATATATATATATGTATGTAAAATATTAATGTACTAACATTTTTGTCTATTGATATAAATTAATAAAATAAAAATGAAAGATTAAATGAGTAAAAAATAAATGTATGTACAAGAAAAATTTAATATAATATTGAAAATACCTTTGCATTAAGTTTATCTGTAAGTTTATCTATTTGAATTTGCATATTTTTCATTTCAATAGCATGTTTTTCTTGTGCTTGCTTTAAAAATTTTTCATGTGTTTTATCATTTGCTTGTAATGCTTGTACCTCTTCTAATATAGCTATTTTTTGTTGTAATTCTATTAAAGAATTTCTTGCATCTCTTAATTCTTCTGTTATCTAAATTTATATAATCAAATAATTAATATATGTAATTATACTAATAATAAAATCATTGTGCAAAAAAATATAGAAAAATCTTACATTTCGATTAGTTCTCTCTAAATTTTCATTTTTTTCCTTTAATGATGTTATTTGATTATGGAGACCAGTAATTTCAGCTTTTGCATCAACTAAAAAAAAAAATAGGAATTTTTATAATTTTTTTTTAAAAAACTAAAACTATTGTTGCAATATCAATATATTCTTTAATTCTCACCCAAAGCATGCTGTGTTTGATTTCTAGATATATTTGATCTTTCAGTTTCAGCTTGTAAAAGTGTTAATTTCCTGCTAAGTTGATTTTTCTCTTCTTCTTTTTCCAATTGTAATTGTTTTAATTCTTCTGTTAATCGTTTAATTTCTCTCATTCGAACTGTATATAAAACTTCTAATTGTTCTTTACTATCATATTCTGCTATTTTGTAAGCTACATTGTCATCAGTTGGTCTACCATTTGGACTTATTTTGTAACAATGACTTAAATGATCAGATGTAACATTATCACCACCTCCAAACTCATGAATTTGTTTGCTTTGTATATTATTTTCATATCCATCGATATAACCATTATTTGAATAAGTTTTACTATGAGCATCATAATGATTAGCTGGTGTTTGATAATTATACAAATAATTTTCATTAAATGTACACTCTTCTTCAACTTGAACTCTTAAATCTTTAGGAAATGCAGAATTTGGTAGTCTTGCTAATTCATAAGGTGTTTCGGCAGTAATATTATGCATATCTTTACTTTTATTATTTTTAGAATATGGCGTATCAGATGGACCATATACATTAAAATCTCTTTGTATATTAGATATTGTTGGAACAATTTCTAACTCTGACTTATGGTTTGTCATAATATTATCATAATTATTTGAATTTCCCATATGATCATAAATACCAAATTCTTTCTGTAATTGAGATACAGTTTGGTCTTTGGATGATATAATTCCCTGAGTAGAATTTAACACTGAATTAGAATTTTCTGCTTCTTTAGCATTATCTTGATAACAACTATTGTTAACAGAACTAGTATCAGTTTCATCATCTAAATCATCATTCCAAGTGAGATCCTTATCCAAGAGATCCTGAATCTAAAACACCAAAATTTATCTATTAAAATTATAAATATGTTTTTTTTTAATTAATCTTTCCAATTAAACTATAAATTGAATAAAACATTCTATAATAAACTTTAATTAAAATAAAGAAAAGTGCACCTCTTTATCGCGTCGCTTAGCATCTTCTTGTTCTTCATCTTCCTCTAAGCCTTGTGTATTTGTATTTAGTTGAATTTCTGAGCCTTGAAACAAGCTCAGACCTGGATCCTCCATTCCTACAGTCTGGCATACACGAATTTATCATGAAAACCAAACATTTATACCCAACATATTTTTGTTTATAACACCATAACCTAAACGCAACAAGTGGGTCACAGAAAATTAGTTTGAACTATAATCCTAGATTTAGCAATAGATTACAAAGTCTTAAGTAGTTCATTTTTTACTAATCTCAACAAGTTGATGACAAACAACTCTGAGATTATTAAAGTTTTTAAATGATTATGCACTCTGCAATTTGCTTGTAAACAATCTTTGAAAAGTCAAACTGTCTTACAGGAAGTCTATATGCGGAAGTAAGCTTTCTGACTATCTTAGCTTTTCTATTGGTTCCTTCATGGAGTATTACTAGTGATTGTAATAGCGTATTTTCTTGAAGAAATATTTAATGTATAGAGTTTACATGGGTATATACATTAATAACGATAACGTCATAATAAAAGAAGCAATTTTAGTTTTAATATGAAAGCAGTAATACAACGTGTCACAAAAGCTAGTGTTTCAGGTAATGATAAGGTTATATATGTTTTATTATAATAACAAATTTATTGTCTTTTAAGAAACAAGAATGAAAAAAAACGTTGAATATTACCATATGTTTATAAAATAAAAACTATATTATATTGTATAAAATTGAATAAAACATAGTCATAACATATGCTTTTTCTTTTTTTTTTTTCTAATAACATAATACAAATATAATACATAATAATATAGTACAAATATTTATTTTAATTTAATATCGTTAAAATATATATAATATTATACTTGCTATCATAATTATATTTCATTTATTGTCAATATTGATAATATTGAATAATAATTTTATAGAATAATTTTTCAGTTGATGGTCAAGTTATTAGTAGCATTGGAAATGGTCTCTGCATCTTAATTGGCATAAAAAAAGATGATACAATAGAAGACATGAAATATATGTAATATATGTATATAATATTATTATATAATATCTTATAATTACTTTAAACAAAACAATTTATTCTTGTATAAAATATAAAATAAAATTTTATTTTTCTTAGAGTAAAGAAAATATTAAATACTAAAATTTTTGATGATGATAATAAGAAATGGAATGCTAATGTTATGGATAAACAATATGAAATATTATGTATTAGTCAATTTACATTATATCATGCTTTAAAAGGAATAGATTAGATTTTCATAAAGCTATGTCTGCTCAAGATGCTGAACCATTTTACAATAAATTTCTTGTTGAACTTGGTAAAAATTATAAACCAGAATTAATTAAAGGTAAATAATTAAAAAATGTAAACAAATAATTTTATAAGAAATATTATATGAAATATTTTCATTTTATTGAATACTTTCTACAGATGGTAAATTTGGAGCAATGATGGAAGTTGATATAAAAAACAGTGGACCTGTAACATTAGAAATAGAATCATCACTTAAATTTAATAAATTAAATGAATCTAATAATGTACAATGAATGGTGGAATTTAAAACTAATACATAAATATATAATAGATACTATTAATTTTTAAAATACCTTCCCTTTCTATTTAATATTTTTTATAATAAATTTAGCTTTCATAATATATTTAAAAAATATTTTTTTTTGATTATATAAAAATTAAACCAAAATAATTTCCATATAATTTTATAAATATAGCTTTTAATATAATATTACAAATATAATAGTTTTGCTTTAAAAATTTGGTTTTTTTCTTTAAAAGTATTTACTTAATTTGTATTTATTCTTTTTATTTAAAATTTTTATATAATATTGATGAATAAAATCGTAAGTTTATATATATCAAATATTTTTATATTAATAAATTATAAATATAAAATTTAAACAATTAAAGATATGCATGTAATATTTCGTATTTATTTTTTTTATTTGTTACAAGTACTATTTATAATATTTTATAATTTATTTTATAAATGTTATTCGATTCATAAAAATTAAATATTTTTAAAAAATTTTTTTCTCGATATTATAAAATATATATTCCATATAATAATATATTACGAATATTATTGAGAAATATATCTAATATCACTTTTTTAAACCATCAATGTAAGAGATAACAGATAGATATTATATATTGAAATGAATTTCGTATCAAAATATAAATCATATTTGATTTTGTATAATAATAATCTCAAATAAAGTTTTGTGCAATTAAGATGAAATTTTTATTAAATATGAAATTCAGTTAAAATAAATATGGAATATTTTATATAATTTAAAATGTGTACGTATATACATATGTACGTCTATATTTGTATGATATACAAAACTTATACACGAATATTATACTAAATCATTTTGCAATATATTAATGTTTTTAGTTTTTATATTTAAATATTTTGCCAAAAATACTATAATGTACTATTATTTATTATTTTTTGCGAGTATTTTTATTATTTTTAAAATACTCATCGATAAAATAAATAAAATGTTAATTCATGTTTAAAAATCATTTTTAAATTTTTATTATATGATAAATTTACAACAATTATTAATTTTTATTTCAGCTCTAAATTTTATTATATAAACATATATATATTATATATATGTATATGTATGTTATTAAAAGATGATAAAATAAATACATAATGAAAATTATTTAAAAAATTTTAAATATCAATTTAATTATAACATTCATATATTTATTTAAAATATTTAATTATTTAATTTTCACTTCTTATTGAAACATAATGGAAAACGAAAAAGAAGAAAAATCAGCAGATATAGAAAATAAATGTTCAGAAGGTACAGACATATGATATTATCATTATGTTAAAATAATCTTAAAATAATAAATAATTTTTAAAATTAATAATAAGTTAATAATAAAATTAATTAAGTTAATAATAATAACGAATATATTTATTTCAGATAAATCTGATTCTTCTTCACAAATAAAAAATACAAAAAATGTTCAATTATGGAAATCTAAAGCTACAAATACTACAAATGATGAGTTATTTAATCCACGACACACACAAGTATAATAATATTGTGCAAATTTCAATATAATTTAGTATGGATATTATTATTTTTAAATATTTATTTTTCAGTCGCGGGAAATTCAAACGGATATTGTTGATATAGAAACAATAGAAAAATTAAAAATCGATTAGATACTTTAATGAATTCTTTAGCTACTCTTTCAGCAGAAAAATCTAAAATGGAAGCAAATTTTCAACAAGATAAAAAGCAATTAAGAAATGAACGGGATGAAGTAAGTTCTATATATATATATATATGTATGTATGTATATTAATTTTATATTTATTGATATAAAATATTTATAGTGCGAGAAAGTAATTAAAGATTTAAAAGAAAAATTAAAAAAGGCGCAAACAAATTATTCAGAAATTGAACATGTAAAATGTAAATTAATTATGGAACGCCATGAAAGGGAAAAAGAACAAGCTGATCATGCAAAAATGATAAAGTATAAAAAAATATGTATATATATATAAAATTTAAAAATTTTACTATAAGAAAACTTAAAAAAAAAAAAATATTCTTTTATTTTTTAGAGAACTTCAAAAATTATTAAATGATGAACGACGAAATAAAGAACAACTTGAAATTCAAGTAAAAAATCAATTTGCATATAAAACGCAATGTAAAATACTTGAAACTGAATTAGAAATAACTAGAAATAAACTTAAACAAGCACAAGAAGCAGCTATAGAAACACCTCCAATTCTTTTATCATTACAATCTAAAATGGTTCTTATGAAGAAACAACATTTGAATGCAATACATGAAGTAATTTTAAAAGATATGCTTATATTGATGAGTTATGTCTGTCACTCATAAAAATGATTAATTTATTCTACAGGAGCAAAAAAGGACAGCTGCTGCAGAACAACAAGCTAGAGCATTAGCAATGACTCATGAAGCAAGAGTAGCTGGTTTAGAAGCAAGATTAGCTGAACTTTCAGAAATTGTTGGAGGATATGATAGACTTAGGCAGCAAGATCAACAAGCTATACAAAAATTGAAAGATCAATTAGTTAATCTACAAAATTCTGAACATGATTATATTACTTTAAATAATGAACCTGAAGAAATTATTTCTAGAATAAAAAATCTTTATAATAAATTATTAGATTTAGATAATAAAAAAACTGAATCACCATATGTTAAATGTTAGTTAATTAAATATTCTTTTATATGAATTGGAAATGAAATAATATATTAATTACTAATGTTATTTTTAGCTTTATTACATAGCTTAAATTTATGTGATAAACAACAAGTTATTGATTATAAAGAAAAATATGAAACTCTATTACAAGAATTAGAAGATTATAAACAACAAATGAAATATGCCAGTGTTGCAAATATATCATATAATATGCAGAATCAAAATATTACATCATCTCATGATAAAAATAACAAAACACAATTACATTTTTTAAAAGCATATAATAACAATTTAGAAGAAAGAATACGTGTTTTAAATAATGAAATTATAAATAAAGAAAGGGAATTGCAATTGAAATTAGAACATCAAGAAAAGGTAATTTTTTTTTCTTTGATGATGAATTTGAATTTTTAATAAATACTATTAAATTTAAAATGATTGATATAAATAGTAATATTATTTTTTCAGTCATTTCAAGAAGAGCATGGAAAATTGAAACATTTATTATTACAAAAGGATAATGAATTTCGTAATAAAATATCCACATTGGAACAACAATTATTACGCCAACGAGAACGATCAATGGCCCTTATTGAAGAAAAAGATAAAGAAATTTTAACTTTAAAAACATCATTCCACGCATTATTACCTAAAAAAGAAAGTACTATAGAAAATAAACCAAATACTCTAAAACATGAAAATGGAACAGAACCAATAACCGATTTAGTAACAGGATTATTAACAAGCGATAGTCCTCCAATATTGCATTATAGTCAAGAATTAGCAAGAAAAGAAGTTCAAGTATCAACATCTAGAAAAAAAGTTTTAGAATTAGAAGCTACATTACGAGAAAAACAAAGAGAAATCGTACATATAAAAGAGAAACAGAAAGAAGACGTAAAAGTTTTACAAGCTCAAATTGCTAGGTAAATTTTAAATTAAATTAAAACTATTAAAAAATTTAAGAAAAAATATTGATATATACAATCAATAATTTTTAGGCTTGAAGCTTGTAAATCTAGAGAAGGGGCAAATCTTGAATATTTGAAAAATGTTTTTATTAATTATTTAACTACAAGTGATGTTTCAAGTAAACGTCATATGCTAAATGCTATTTCCACAGTTTTGCGTTTTACTTCAGAAGAATTAAATAAGGTAAAACATTAAATAATTATGAAATGTATAAAAATATTACATACAAATTATTAGTTAATTTGATACATCGTAAAATTTATTTACTTCAATGTATTTTTAACGTTATTGCAAAATATTTAATATTTCAGAAATATATATTATTAATAATGTTCATAAATTAAGAAATCTATTATTAATTTGAATCGTATTAATAGAAATATTATTTTGTAACATTTATATTACACATTAGTTTTAAAATTAAAATAAGATATAAGCATAATATCTTGACATTCCTTGCATTATTTATATAATTTTAAAATTTAAAATATGTATATATAAAATAAAAAAAATTATAGAAATATAGTTGTAAAATTTATAATTCAAAAGTGTTTATATTTTTTATTCAAATATGTAAATAATTTTTTACTTTAAATAAATATATACTATTATTTCTAAACATTGTTATAATTTCTTTAATCATATAGAAATAAGCACATTAATGCAAATAGAAAAATTTAAAATAATATTACATATATATTGAAATTTTAGTTATGCAATTTAATGCATATTTATTAATTATAAATATAGGAAGAAATAAAATATGAAGTTTATGTTCAATTTTTATATTACTTATAATCTTACAATTATGTTATGTGGCAAATGTGGACAACTCAGAAAGAAAAATGAAGCTCTTTGTTGAAATATGTTGTACAAAGTATGATGTACATTTCAATACATTGATTAATAACATTGCCATTATATGCTCGATCTTATGTTGTCGAAGGAATAATTTTAAATGCACGTCGACTTTACGATGTCTTGTTACTTTTAAGTGTGTAATTATCTTTTGAAATTAATAACAAAAAGTTTAATACGCATCACGTATATATTCCGTTGTATTTATTTATACTCCAGTTTATGTGCTACGTGCATTATATACAAAAAGAATGACTAAATTGTGACGTCACGTTTGGCATGTATTTAGCGTTTAATCTGTTGATGAAAAAAGAATTAAACAACTTATCGATAATGTCTTTGATAAGTTTCAATGTACTTAATTGTACGCGTTTTTATCGAAGATCTGTACATCTCGAAGCTGCTAAATATTTTCCTCACAAATTCTCTAACAATGTATAATTCAATTTGTATTTCGTTTCTTCTCACCGGTAATAACATGTCTTCGAAGCAAATCATTATCTATATACAGATTAAAAATCCACGCTTCGTTTTTTTTTAATCGATAAACATCGTCGAACTTTCAATCTCCAGTTGTTAATAAAATACAGGCAAACAATTATCAAACGATCGGCATATTCATTGTTCGGTTTGCACTTTTACAATAATTCTCGCTAAACACTGTTTTTTCGACATTCTGCGACATTGCGATCACATTAATTTTTTACAAGTCACGAGCTATCTATTCTATCGAAAATAGGCAATCCTTGCACAGGCTTCGAGTTTAAAAACTTTTACACATACACAGTTGTTTTCTCTTTTTTTTTTTTCATCCCGTGACATTTTAATTAGAACATTTTATTAAGTATCTTCAAGGCATGATGATGTACACCTGTTCGATGGTAATTTCAGGCTCAGAATGTCGGCGATTGTCAACACAGATTACAACATTTTATTTGATAACACTTGTTTAATATTTTTATAATTAGACATCGGTATATAATATATATGATTCTTTAATATATATATTTTGTGAAGAATATTTCTTGCGAATAATTATTTCGTATTTATCTGCTTTCTGAAAATTTGTAATTGGTAATCTGCTAAGATTTTTTTCTTCTTTCTTATTTATTTTTTTCTCTTTCTTTATATATATAATGATGTTAATAATACTAATGTACAGAGGCCCTTAAATAACATTTCCCCGAGAAGAGTGCATATCTCTGTATATAATGTTGGAATAATATCTGTTTCATTTGTGCACTTCATCGAAAAATATCTGCGCTTTCACATTCTAATACTTAAATTTATTTTAAAAGAAAAAAGAAAAGCCAATTCTTATATTCCTTCACATTTAAAGAAGTCTTTCATCGACTATGACAGACTATTTTCTGTATTATCTGTAAGTATTTTTCCTTTCTTCTTTTTTTTTTCTTTTTTTATTCATTATTATTAATTTTTTTCTTTTATTATAATTTTAATACAAATACTAACATAGTATTTTATACAACAATAATATTATACCTATTATAATATTTATAATAATGATATAAATATTATAGTATTGGTATACATTATACAACTTGTATTAAAATTATAATAAATTTGAATCTGAATCTGACAAAAGAATCGTTTTAAGATGTTGTTCTGTTAGAAGTTAAATATTCCCTATCGATGGTATCATCGATTTAACGCATTTGATCTTATTATAATCTTATTCCTTAACATCTTTATGCGAAGTCCCTAAAAGCAAGAGAATAAAATCTATCAATCGGCATTATTAGATTGCGTACAAAGAAATAAATTTCATCGCTTTAACATGATCTATAATTTTCGAATATAATCATGTCACGCTGTATGTCGATGTTGCTCCTTCTTTTATTTGTTACCTTTTTTTCCTATTTGTTATTTTTCTTAAGACAAATACAACAAATATGCATGAAATTGTTTTTTTTTTTTTTTAATTTTTTTTTTTTTTTTTTTTATTTTTTTTTTTAATAAAAAAATATCAAATCATCCTACAAATAACACGATTTTTTTTAAGAGTTGAAATTATACCAATGAAAGTATATAGTCGCAGTATGACTTTTATAATAAAATAAAAAAAAATTTAGTAGAAAGATGGAAAATTATTGTATTATAAAAATGAAAAAAAAAATACAATTATTTAATGGAGAGATAATTTATTTTCATCCGTCATCAATATTATATTTATTGAAAAAACCGAATTTTTTGTAAGATGACTTAATATATTCGTTTGTAGTTTTATTTGAGTTTTCTTCCATTTCTTTTGATATTAACTGTACGGAAGCAATATAAAAATATCAAATCATCCTACAAATAACACGATTTTTTTTAAGAGTTGAAATTATACCAATGAAAGTATATAGTCGCAGTATGACTTTTATAATAAAATAAAAAAAAAATTTAGTAGAAAGATGGAAAATTATTGTATTATAAAAATGAAAAAAAAAATACAATTATTTAATGGAGAGATAATTTATTTTCATCCGTCATCAATATTATATTTATTGAAAAAACCGAATTTTTTGTAAGATGACTTAATATATTCGTTTGTAGTTTTATTTGAGTTTTCTTCCATTTCTTTTGATATTAACTGTACGGAAGCAATACAAAACATCTAACGGAGAGAATGTATTTGTATAACAACATTAGTGTATTACATTATTTATAATATTATAATGTCATTAGTATTAATTCATTTTGTTTTCGTACAGTAATAAAGAACATCACAAGCGATTCAAATTTTTAGTGTTAATTCATAATTCGCTGGATAAAATGAGATTCTTTTGTTGCTCTAAATTCAAGCAACATTCCGAAATATGATCAGTGAAATGAATTTGTGAAATTTGTTAAGGAAGAAGCATCAATGAATAAATAACTGATATTTCTTGTGCACATTAGAGCAATGTGACATTGTACGATTTGCTACGAACAAGTAATTACAATAAATTATAATATTCCTATTTTTAGAGATATTTTTATATTTTTTAACACAGTAAATAGAATCGTGTTCAAAATTATAGATTTCTTTATCGGTTACATTCTTTTCGTATCAGACATTTATACTAATTTATCTTATAAAAATAAGTAAAAAGTTATAATAAAAAATATAAAAAAAAAAAACAGAAAAAAAAGGAAGTATGCAGAAGTTTGAAAGAATTTGAAGGCAGCTAGAATTCTTGCAAATATCAATTTTTTTTCTTTTACACAATAACTATTATATATTATATATGAAATCTTAAATATTTTATGATCATTATATGTGTTACGATTACAATGAAACTTTTCCGATACGATGAAAATAAATTATCATAAAAATTATGTAGAAGACATTATTAATTAAAACATATATAAAAAAAAATTTTTTAAAATTAATATTAAATGTATTGTTATTATAAACATGACCGACTTTTTTTAATTTTTTGGAAAATTATGTTGTTTACCTATAATGATTTTTTGAATTTTTTGTTGAATTGATTTTTTATTGTTAATAAATAATATATTTATTTATAAAATACCTTTTTAAAGGATATTATTATCATACATGCGTAACATGCGTGTATATCTTTTCGAAAAGGTATTTTCTGTTCTTTTAAAGCTTGCCGCAATGTAAATACATGTCCGTCGCAAATATCACAATGCTTATCGAACAAATTTCTAACTTCGAGATTTTTTTTTGTTATACTAATATCCCGTATCGTTCGGATCGTTCTTTAGAAAATGTAATGTATTTGTAAGTCAAAATGGCCATAATGGCAAATTTGGTCCAACAACTGGTTCTCGTATAGGAGCATTGGAATTAAAATCTGTCTATCGCGAAAAATCGTCTGCATATTTTATTCATGTATTTACTATTTATAAAATCTCAATATATACATATGATATATTAAATGAAAAAAAAAAAACTATTAAATATAAGCATAAATTCTTCTAACAATGATAATTATAATATATTCAGATTTCAATCTTTTCATAATAAGCTTTACCAAAATTTATTTTTAGAAAAGTTTTAAAAAATTGTTTAAAAATTGTTTTGTCCATTAATTAATTCATTAACATAAAATATTAATATTATGCTTTATTTAAATTTATATTTTAAAGTAATTTTACATAACAAACATAATTTTTATTTTTTTCTATCCATTGGTGAATAAAATAAATAATTAATAATGTTTGTTTATGTAAAATTATTAAATAAAATTTAATATAATTGACATTTGAAATATTATGTGCATAAATATATGTAATGTTTTATTGCAATTAATACAATTTGAGATTTTTCATTTACAATTCTCAAAGATATTCTACTCTTTTTTTTTTTAATAATACATTTTTTACTAATTAAAAGAAAAAATATTTAAAGTCTATAATTGTTTTATAATTTAAGTAATAATTCAATTTTAATGCACGTTTAAAACTTATTATAGAAGTATCACTATTACTTTAAATATATTGATAAAATAGCAAGAATATCGATATATAAAGCAATAAAAGATATAAATCAGGAATTATATTCATCTATTATTGATAAAAGATATCTATTTGTCATTATTTTTTATACATTCAAAAAATAATGAAATGTTATTACAAAAAAAATATGTACTATAATATGTACATGCATTTAAGTAATTACACGTATATTAAATATATTACAAACTTTTATATTTGCAGTATTAAATTTTTAAAAATGCAATATTAATATCTCGAATATCATTTATATAATTAAATTATATGCAGTATAATTGTAAGATCATATGCACGTAATATGAAAATGATAACATTAAATTGTTATTTATAAAAACTTAGAATACTTTCAAGAATACAATTCACCTTATCTTATTAACCAAAACTGAAAAATAATTTTTAAGACGCTTCAAATCGAAAGTTTTAAGAGAAATATTTTTCAAATTTGATGAATTATCTGCGGACGACATTGCATAGATTGGTCAGATTTTAATCCCTCAGCCTATTGTTTCTATAATATGTGTTTTATATATGTATATGCATATGTATCATGTGTATATATATATGTATGCATTTGTAAGTTGTCAAATATTTCACAGTGTAACATTTTGTTTTTGTTTTTTCTTCATATAATTATACTTTATTACCTACGCATGTACATGCATGTACTTTTTATGGTACAATGCATCAATGCTGTACATAACAAAGATTTATGGTATGCTTTCTACGCAGAGTTATTTTTCATCGCTTCTATGCACGACTTATTATTTCTTCTATATTCGGTATTATTTCTTATAACATTATTTCTGTGTGACTGATATTATAATCGTATAACAGTTTTAAAAATATTTCAGAATTAAACAAGGAATAATAGAATGACTACAATAGATGAATAGCAACTTAGAACGTAATAAAATACATTACTGCAAAGAATAATAAAAAAAGAGAGAGAGAGAGAAAATTAAGAAATGGATGCACAGGGTTCGTTCAAGTGCGTTCATTTTATACAATTAGAGAAAGGATTCAAAAGAAGGAGTTAGGAAAACAATTATAATATGGTGAAGAAAATGCCAGTAGAATAGCCGCCACTTTACTTTACTTCTGTTTTCCTAGATCACAGTCACATGTATGGCTGCTAAATCACGGAACATATTTCATCACCAATTCTTTTTTTTATTTTTGAAAAATAATAATAATAATAATAATAAAAAAAAAAGAAAGAAAAAGAAAAGAGGAAGAAAATATAGTAAAATAACTTCAAAATCTTATCAATACTGGAAAATAGTTCACTAGTTTACACAAGTACAAAATATAATATTCTTTGAAAGGGCAAGTGAGACACTCGATCCCTGTTAGGATCCATTCCTGTACATAAAAAAATATTCACGAAGTAATTTAATAATCGAGGAATAAATTAGGATATATTATATAAAATGTTATTTCTTTTTTCATCACGTGAGAAAGTTTTATTAAAAATCACTCTTATTATTCTATATCGCTTTTTTTCATATAAATTGTAAATTAAATTATTCGATTAATATAAAATTATTGCGAAAACCAGATGTTTTAAAATGAAAATACGCATAATATATTTAAAATATTTTTCATGATAAAATAATGTATTTACAAAACTATTATTAAATGATATCGAATTTAAGATAACTTGTGCTTTTATAAACAATATTATAAAATTTTTTTTTGAATAAATCATATTTTCTTTTAACTACTATATAAATTACAAATATATTCGCCAGTTTTTTCCTCTTCTTTAAGGAAAAAACGAAAAAAGCTATTTACGATAAAATTAATGCAATACGATATTTTATGGAAATGAAGATGCAGAGAAATTGTGTGAATGAAAATAATATTGTTTAAAAAGAGTGATATGAACACAGTATAAATGATTTCTAATAAACTTATCCGAAGAATATATTAATATTAAATTATATTTTTTTACATAATAAATATATTCTTAAAGAGAAAAAAAATTGTATTAAAAGGAAAAAAGAAATCCTTCTTCGGAGTATAATTCACAGGAGTGATCAGTGCAGATTTCAAGTGTCTCATTTCTTCAGTAATCGCTTGCCACCGGTGCGTTAACGCTCCGTAAAAAATAATAAATCAAAAAATCGTAAGAGAGTAATGTTATGTACTATATACAAATAATATCCTAACACTTTAGGAAAGGATTAACTTTGGAGAAAGGTAAGGGGACCGTTCCATGCGCAAGAAAAGTTCACAATGTACGAAGGCCCACAATCTGTAAATTTTATCTTTTCTTTTCTCGTATTCTTTCTAATCCTGCCCGCGCTCTCATTTATAATTATTATTCTACAAATTACAATGCTCTACTCTACCGTTTCGGATGTATCCTAAATTTTATATAATATATATTCGGTATATTATATTTGTTTTCTATTTACAAAATATGTAGAATAGACATTGTTCCTATCCTAACTATAATATGCGTGCCGTGGCGCGAGACTTTTTTAAATCTTTCAAAGTGCGCTTTTTTTATAAACATATTACTAATTACATAATCTATTTTACAGCCAAATTCAACAATCTCCGCTAAAATTCAACGCGTTTCTATTAGAGATATGAAAATTTTTCTATAACGTAAAAGCAATCATATGATTGATAAAATGCACTAAAATAAACGAAATACGTTATATACATATAATGTATATATAATTTGCGTAATGAACAACACGAGTTCCATTAAAAGCATAGTAACAAAATTCTCAAATCGCAACAACATATTCAATAAATCTTCTCGGCACTTTTTTCTTATCTCGGTGCTCGATGGTAATATTAAATTTTATATATTTGCAAATTTTTCATTAGATCTCACACGCATTTGATTATGACATGCTAAAGGTAAAAACAATAATTTGTCATGGCCAAAAAAAAAAAAGAAAAAATACGGCCTCTATAAAACCGCTTATATCTAAATTAGGACCAAAAAAAAAAAAAAAAAAAAGAAAAAAAAAAGAAAAAAAAAAATAAAGAAAAAAACAACTTCAGCATCAGCAGATCAATTTTAAAATGCTTATAAAACACATATTCAATGCGTTGAATTTGAGCAGAGGTCTAAAAACAGTAGATAAGTACTTTCGAGAATATTGGAAACATATTACATATTATCTATATCAAGTGGTGTCTAACAATTAATTCTTTACTATTAAGGGATTTATTACGCATGCATTCCCTTGTTTGTCGCCGCACAATGGCACGATTTTTGTCTCCACTGTTATAATCTATGAATCACCAAAAGTATGCTTTCGTCTTAAAATTGTCAGACACAGCATCATAGATATTTTAAACTCTCCAGATATCTCCCATTCCAATTCATGCCATAGTATTTACAAGTAAAATAAACATATTTGTTGACTGCATTACATAAATTTTGTGCAATGTTTATCGCAGTTCTTCCTTTTATATTTTTCTTTTTTATCTATATCATATATAAAGAATAACTAAAGTATATAAACTCTGATTTCATTTTATAATGTTTCATTAATTCTAATACTCTCTGATTACGATTTCTCTTCCTCTTTCTCTCAAAAACATCCATACATTTTGCACTCACGCGAAATTTCATTTTCTATATCACACATATTCATTTTTTCTTTCTACTGGATCTCATAGTATTTTTAACAATGTTTAACAATGGCTTAGGCCTTTCATAATCCTTGCAAGGTATATCGATGTACAAATATCAGTCGTATTTGGAATTGTACAACTATGAGTTGTAACTTTATAACGTAGTAAAATAATTTTTTCATTTCTATATTACCATTTCATAAATCATCTTTGGATTTAGAATGCAGACGAGTATTGTCTTTCCTTCTGAGAGAAGAAAGCTCTTTTTTTCGAATTAAATATTTCGCACACTTTATGTCATTATATTATTTTTTTCTCATTTCGTTATTAAACAAGATAATATGATTAAATTTTTAAGTTGAGCTTTTAATTTACTAATGAGCGTTATCATTACTAAAATACAGTAAATTCTTTATCACGCAAATTTTCATAATTTTATATGTCATTATCCCAATAGAACACAGATACTCGAACACACATTAAGTCAACATTAGTAATCTTGAGAAATATTCGATATTTCTTTTATATACAATATAAAGATTTTACTGATATATGTACATCGACTCACCTTGATATGCCTGTCTAAGTTACCTGCACCAGGTTACATCAAAGTTTGAATTGCACTAAAGCCTTGCAGCACTTTACAACTCGCTAAAACTTGTACATCAACAATTTTTCCAATAAAAACTTCCTTTTTTTAATGAATAATGATGTACTCATGTTGTGAAGTAAGGGGATGCATAGTATCACAGTTGGCACGTGGGCGCTAGCTACCACTACTGCTTACAGGCAGTGAATGTGGAGCTCCCATCGATGTAGGAGGAGCAGTCAATGGTCCTATAAAAATATTCTTTATATATTATTTGTCTTATAATTAATATCTCAAAAAATAAAATTATCTCAAATAATTACCAGTTATATTAGGTGAAGATTCAGAAACAGGTAGTGGACTAACTAGACTGTTAGCACTCATAGGTGTAGAGTTAGCTTTTAATTTTTGTCTGACCTCCCTAATCTTTAATTGCAAACTTGTCTTATTAGGAAATATATCTGAATGTTTTGCTTGAAAAGTTGTAGTAGCTTGTGTTGAAGGAAAGTAACCATGTTCTTGAAATAATTGCATTACAAGATGTCGACGTTGTTCTAGTACTTTCCTGTGACCTCGTTCATTTTCACTTCTGCCAATTCCTACGGAGTTTCCGGCACCTCCACCAGGTGTTTTTGGTGTTCTGGGTGAACTAGCATCAACATCTCCCACTAGATCGGTATTAGTTCTATATGCATCAACGTTAAAATCTGGACCAAAGAATGTATTTCCTGTCAACTTGACACTAGAAGTTGATTTTGGAGTAGCAGATATTGATGTATCTGATTCGATGTCATCCTCATTCACTATTAGAAAAAAATTTTTATTTTAATACTTAAATTTTTAAGTAAAAATTAGAAAATATATGCCCTTTTGTAAAATTATTAAAATATTTACTTGTGGGTCTATGAGGTCCTTGCGCGGATTTTTTCCTATAACTTTGCATTTGTATCGACGATTGTAAATTTGATGGATGTAAACCAGATGTTACTACTGAACCATGACCAGATGAACCCACTGTATTGATACTGATTGCACTTGGACTTTGTATATCTTCTGGTTTAAATTCTGGTAAGGATGAGAATTTTTCTTGGAAATTTACTTGCTCCAGAACTCTATATACAGAAAATTATATTTTTGATTGTAAATTTAAATTTAAATTTAACACAGTGATAAAATTCAAATAATTTTTAACTTTTTATACCTGTCCATTCCATCTTCGACATTTTTCTTGAAAAAAGAACCCTTCTTAGTAGATGGTGACGGTGAAGCATGAGATTCTGAAAAATTTTGTTGTTGTTGTATTTGTTCTGTAGCTTGAGATGTGTTTGTTTGTGGACGATTATCACAATGTTGAGAAGTCAAAGGCCCATGGTCTCCTGCATTTGATGTGGGAGGCATTGCTATAAAAAATAAAAAATGTGTATATATGTTTTATATATTTTCATTTATATTTATTATTTAAAATAATTATTAATATATTATTAATATATCATAAAGTTGATAAAAATATACCCATTGACTGTCTCCTTTGTAACGGTGCTCGACCAAGTTGTGCTGGAGTTGGAGCAAGCATAAAAGGACCTTTACTTGGACCTATATCATTAGGTTGTGTTTCATCCATGGAATATGATTTATTTGTGGGAATTTCAGTACTACCATGATTACTAAGAGGTGTATGAGGAGTATGTGGAGTAGATGGCTGTTTATGTTTATCATTTGTAGCAGATAAAAGAATATTCACAGTATCTTTTCTTTCTTGATCAGATTTTACATTAGTTACTGAAAAAATATAAAAATCATTTTCAATTTTTATTCAAAATATATACAATATCATTAAAAGTTACCATAAAAATTATGACTTACCATAAAATTGGGCATGATTGTTTCCTACTTGATTTTCATTTTTTTCGGGTTCTGCAAGACGAGCTATTGGATGACCAATTCCTCGATAAGTTGATGTAGTGGAAGTTGTTGGAACTGAATATGGTTTGCTCACTATTACACTTTGAGTTTCCATTTTATTGCCAGAAACTAAAGCTTGGGAAGATATATTACGATTGCCAGCATCTATAAAATATATTTATTTTATACAAATTTTTATAAATATATTTTTATATAATATAAATTAATAAATTGCAATCATTTTAATATTGAATTAAAAATAATTTTAGAAGAAATTATAATAAAAAATAATAAAATCTCGAAATAATTATGCAAAATTATATTTATATTCTGCAAAAACTTACCAGAAATAGGTATATGAAATCCACAATACATCCGGGAATGAGGTGGTGTTGGACCAAGATACTGTGATCCCTGCTGCGGTTTGGAAACAGCCACCAAATCGTTATCGAGCAATGTTAGAGTGAACGATGGTTGATAAGGGACAGCTGAAGTAAGGGGGCGAAGAATAGTGCCTAAAGACTGCAACGGCTGCTGTTGTTTAAACAGAGCCATCATAGGTTTCGATCCAATCTGTCAGTTAAACTTTTATAGTTTAATCTTGAGTTTATTCGCATGTGTTTACATAGCACCTTTTAGAAAAGCTTTAAGAGTTCGCTGCTCCCTCAATTCAGGTTTTAATTGGAAAATAAAATAAATAAAAAAAAAAAAAAAAAAAAAAAGAAAAGAAAGAAAAGAAATAATATTGCAGCAAGGTAAGTGTAGGCACGTGCGAATAGCACTCGAACGCTTAAACTTTATAGTAACTATTCATACCTTATATTCAGACAGTAGTAAAAAATAATCATTTATGAGATAATAAATAATTGATTGTTTGAGTGTAGGCAATATAATTATATTTGTTAATTCAAAAAAATATGAAAATTACTACTTATCCTTCACTCAAACGATAAATATAGAACTTTTAAGTATTCACACATGCCCGAATGAAAAGGATTATTTTAAAGGATATTAGGAAAATAAAATATTTTAAAATTTTTAAAATTACATAATTCATTGAATTCACTGTATAGGTTTAATTCGTCTGGACCATTGTAGGTATGTATGTTACTATTATACATTTTTAATAATTTATATATTTATAATACTTACAGAATGTAATACCGGAGCAGCCGTAAATTTAGGTATATTTCTTCCATTTTCATGAATGCTTGCTACCAAATTACTCATACTATATTGAGTACTGTACTGTTGCTCATTTTTTACTGGTTCTGGTTTAATGACTTTTGGAGATATTGGCATAGTTATAAAGGCTCCACCTGTAGGTTGAAAACCTGATACTCCAGTTGGATTGACAGGACTATGATAAGGATATGTGCTGGGTAAAACAGAAACGCTTCCTCCTTTGTCCATAGAAGTATGATGATATTTCGTCGTGGTTTCAATACCTGTTGAAGGTATTCGTGCTAGACAAACGAAGAAATTATCAATTTATCATAATTTATCATACTATACTATATTGTTGAACATCATTGTTGATTTTTATATAATGAAATATTAAAACAAACCTTTTATTGGTTTAGGCCTACAAGTTATTTCTTGCTTAACATTTATTGCTTCTCTCTTCTGACCAGTTACAGGTGAAAACCGTGATTGTATATAACATTTCTTTTCAGTGTCTTCATCTTGTACATCATTATCACTATCTGTCAATTTATCTTTACATTTTAAATCTATTTCAGGTTGTGGATCTTCGCAGATTACCATTTGATCTTCGTCTGACGCATTACCATCTTCGTCCTGTTTTAAATCAGATTCTGCATTTTCAACTGGCAAAGGCATTTCCATTATTCGATGTGTATGTGACTGATTAATAACCTAATAAAATATATAAATATATTATTTAGCATAAAGAAAAATTAAAATATTTAAATAATATAGATTGAATTTACCTCAATCGTGGGAGCTTCATTATATACCGTAGTAACGGGAACAGTAATTTCGTCTGTAGCTCTTGGTGTTAATGGTACATCATCTGCTGGTGGTCCCATATCCGTTTCTTCCCCAGTACTATTTAATTTCCCTCGAGATTCGCTACCTTTGAAACTTGTCGTTGAAGATTTCCGCCTATCTTTGCTACACCATTTCCAATCTGGATGCGCTTTAAAATGTGCTTCTTTTACTTCTGATGCAAGATCATGATATTTTTGTTTTTCTTCTGGTCCTAAGGCATACCACCATTCCCCCAATATTTTAGATACAGTACGATTATCTTGATTCGGATGTCTTTGATGCACTACTGCACGATGTCGTTTAGAAAAAATCATAAATGCATTCATCGGTCGGCGTATTCTATCTTTAGTCTGTGAAATTATATTATAAATTTTTAAAATCGATCTCATTTCATTTATATTACATTATATTAAGTAAAATTTAATATTATTATTTTATTTTAATTAATAATTAAATAAAATTAAAATAAAATAATAATAAAATTTTAATAATATTCTTATCACATTATTCTTATCAAACTTACTTTAAGAGGACTCTGTGGTTCCTTGGAATGCAATGCACTAAGGGATTGACTGCGTCTCTTATTAGCATTAGCTTCGACTTCTGCAGGGGTTGTCGGTTCTGTTTCAAAAACATCATCATCTTCTTCTTCAGCTGGAGTTATAGGATCTGGCCCTGGTCCAGATCCATCTTCACCAGGTGTGCTCATACTAATTGGAATTGGAGGTGCACTTAATGGTGGACTCAATGCAGATGGTGGAGGACTCACTTCTGATTGATCCAAAACTGTTGTTTGCCAAGGAAAAGCTGCTGCAATAAAATTGTATATAATGTAAATAATGTATAATAAAAATTATTTTATGAATAAATTAATAAAGTACATATACATATAATTAATATTATCGCAAAATATAATATATTTTGTATAATTCACACTTATTCATAAAATAAATTGCAAAAATTATAAAATTATTAAAATATTTACTGTATTTATATAAATTCATTTTTAATAATATCATAATTATACAATATTAGGTTCTAATAGTATAATATATAATATATAAAGAATAACAATACATATAAAAGATGGATATTTAAATTATGTTATATCCATATTGTTACTATTATTAAATTTTTCTATTAGAAATTGATATAAATTGATATAGAAATTATTGATATAAATATAAATAAGTTATTTCAATTATTAATATAAAATAGAAAAATATATATCAACATTATTTTAACAATTATAAAGTAATTCAATAATTTTATAATATAAAAACATATTTTATATTTATTATATAAAAATTATTTTTTTAAGATTGACCATATGACATATTTGACATATTTTACAATAAATATTAGAATAATAATACATTTTATATGATAATTAAAACTCAAACCTTTTTTTCCAATTGCGACCTGCATTGTTCAATAATGATGGAGGATGAGACTGATATGCAGGAGGAACATCATGACTGCCATCTGTGAAAGTCTTATTATTTAGTCAAATCTGCTAATTAATGTAAAATAATAAGATGTATATAATAGATGATATAATAGAATATAATAGAAACATAAATCAACAATCATAAATGAAAATTACATAAAACAACGATTTTTTATCTAATACTAAATTATGCAATAAAATATGTTTAATAATAATCTGCCAATTAAAAAATAATTTTTAACATAACGTTATTATGAACAAAATTTGAAATTAAAAAATAAAAAATTACAATTATTCTAAAACAAAAATAAAAAAAAATAAAAATAAAGTTTAATCATTTAAAAATATATTAAAATAGTTAAGAAATAATATATTAAAATAGTTTACATATGTGAAAATAACGATTCTGAAATCCATAAACTTACACAGAACTCCATTATTTTTAGAATTTTCTTCCCTAGATGATTGCGTTTTAGGAATTTGTACCAAATGCCCAGGTTGTACAATTACATGCTGGAAGACACTTGTTGGAGTAGGCGGATTTGAAGCTTCAGTAGTTGTCATCACAACACTCGTAGGGGGTGGTTGTGTTCTTTGCATATCCATATGAGTAGATACATGTGTAGCTACTTTATTTGCCTAATAATAATGATATATTTTATTCTATTTATTACTAAATATATTTCATATAATTAGTACTCATAATCAAAGTGAAGTTAAATGAAATTATTAATAAAATTATTAAGATTGCTTACTTGTAAAACGGATAATTTGTCGACATGGACGGATGAAACAGCAGGTGATTGTGGAGGCTGACATTGCGTTTGATGTAATGTTGCTGGAAGTTGACCCAAGTGATTCATTAATGCTGGTCTATATTTATCATCTTGATTAGTTATATGGCCTGCTGCAGATACATCCATACTATTTTTTATCACAAGATACTTTTTTTCATGTTGATGCTGCATCACATAAATTGGCTGATTTTGCGTTTGCGGTTGAGCATAATCAACAGGTTGTTCCAAAGGCTTATGTAGGAGAGTCAAATTTTGTGGTGTTGATGTAGATAGTGGCATATGAGGTGAATGAGATGGTTTTAATATTTGTGAATTTTGTTCTGAAATTTCAGAATGATTAGGAAAACCATTATTCGTTGTAAGTGCATGTTGAAGAATGATGCCTTGTTGTTGTTGAGCTATAGTCGTCACAACCGATGGATGCCGCGGCGGAGGGCTTTGTTCTGACCACGATGAAGTTAGATTGGATCCTGGTATACCACGACTTACAGGAGAGATTCTTATCACGCTTGTTCCTATACTAGCAGGAACTGGGGCAGTTGGAGCTGAACGATTCGATCTAACCACTCGATTCGGTTCAGGTTTTATTACTTGCTGTTGATATTGAGTAAGGAAAGTAGATTGAGTAGGTGAATGTTTCCATTTCGCACCAGGCGAAATTAATGGAGTTGCATGATGAGCAGGACTTGAAATAGGCATAAACACATTGTTTTGATTCAGTCCCAAGGGTGGTACTGGAGATTGATTGATACAAGGAGATATCGAAGATTGTCCTGTTGGTGAAGAGAAAGCTGGTGTTGCCGATCTAGAACTTCCTAAGGAAACTATAATAAAAAATATTATTTATAATTTTTTTAAATTCAAAAATTTTGTAAAATATTAAAATTTAAGAATTTACCAAGCATATTAGCAGCTTCAGTTTCATCTGGATCAAATCGACCAGCAATTCTTTTATCTCCATAATTTGGAGAAGTATCAGAATCTCTAGATGTTTCTTCACCATCCATTTTGCCACTAAATATTTCAATTATTTAATATATAAAACTACTAAATTATTATATTTAATCAATAAATTATTATTAGTTTTCTTACCCAGGAAAAGTATTTGTCGGACCTCTAAGACAAGATCCTTTCAAACTAAGATGACGAGAACAATATCCTCTTCGTTGACTTTCTTTGGAACATCCTTCTTTACTACAAAGTCTACGCCATTGTTTACCATTAAATTTTTTTCTAACTCCACTTGGTGTAGCCACTACATCACCTTTTTTATATCTATGTGGCGTTGCCGCCTGAGATCTATTTAATATTGAACAATTTAATATTAAATTTATACTTAACTCTTATATATTTTTTATTTATTAATTAAATCAAATATTTTATTTAATTAGCATTATTACCTGGGCGTGGCTGCTTGAGAACGAGGAGTTATACTGCGTTGTTCAACTAAACTACTGGTACTTCCTCGACTTTGCATGCTGCTTCGTTTACTGCTCCCTGACAATTTTGCATCTGTCAGTTGAATATATTTATATTATTATTATTTTTATTAATATAAATTAAGTAGAAAATTAGAAAGGATAGACGTAATAAAAGTTATTAAAAAATAAAATAAATATTATAAAAATTCCGAGATATTACAAAGTTATAATATTTCCATAATTTATTATAATAATATTTTATTGAGAATTTATTTCATTTCATTTCATGAAAAAATAAAGATTCATTTCTAATAAATATTTTATTAAAAATTTCTACATTTTTACATTTAAATACACAATAGAATTGTGCATTATCTAACCTGCATCTGAAGGGAATGTAATATCTTCCCTATCTAAGTCATCTTCACTTTCTAAATCATCATACGGTCGACTTCCATTACTTAATGCTGTAGTGGCAGGATGTGCAGAAGTGCCTAAAGTCATGAGAGGACTAGTACCAGTCGTTCTATAATAACCACCTGTGTCGCTATGAGTTGATATATGAGATGTATGATGAGAAGTGTGATGAAGTTGCAAAATTGGCACTGCTGTTGGAGCTTCTGAAGAATTTCGATAGCCATGTTCTACGAATCGAGAAAATAAAGCATTTATATTAATGAGAATAAAATTTCTTAATTAAAAAATTACATTAAATTTTTAATTATATTTTATAGAGAAATCCCATACCAATTCCTTCAACCCTCGCAGAATCACAGTCTTCTAATCCTTCCTCTAATTCGTCCCACCAAGGAGGTTGCACTAATCGTAGATCCGCACGTGTCACAACATAACTATCATTTCGATCATCTTCCCTTGATATTTTAACAACAAAACGCTTAGGATTTGATAAAATCTTGCACACTGTCCCTTTTACAAACACTTTAGCCGCATCAATATGATTGTTTGATGGACACTTGATACAAACTTTTGCATCTAAAGTCACTTGCCCAATCGAAGGGCTCGCATCACCTATCACATCGTACCTTCCCGCACCCAAAACGTCAGTGTAACGCATTAGTTTTCTTTCTCCATCAAACTCAATATAAATTTCTCCTTGAACAACATTACGAATAACACCTGGATAATAATATGAATCCCTTAAAGCTAACACTCTGTGGTCGCGCCACTCACTGAGATCAATAGCAACAGTAGCAGGCCGAGGACGAGGACGTAAAGGTTCCTCTCGAACAGAATAATCCACTGCTGTACTTTGAGGTGGTAAAACTACCACTGAATGTGCCGAGGATACCTTTAAAATATCATTAATACATGTAGAATTATATTTTAAAATATTATCTCAGTTTGATGAAATATCTTTTTGATGATTTTTTAGTGATGATGTCTTTAAGATTCTTATTATTTATAACTTATCATTTTTTATCCAAAGTATAAATAAAACAAACATTATTGTGGACTATATGCATATTATATTTAAAAAAAGAATTAGAATCTTTCATATATATTTTAGAAAATAATAAAATATATCTTCTAGAAATTATTTATTAAATATTTATATAAATTTGCAAAATAATAATAGTTTTCATACTAAAGCATATATGTGTAAAGATCCTTAAATCTTAAACAAATTTAAGTTTAATAATTTTATAATCACTTTTTTCTTTCTTTAATAGATATCAAAAATAAATTATGTACATAAATTATATATAATATTTTTTTATATACATATAATTCTATCAAGTTATATATATACATGTATGTAAATATTATTTATCAAATAAGAAAATATAAATTTTTTTTAGATAGATAAAATGTTATGAATAACATAATTTAACTTTATTATTTCAAAAATTTGCATAAAATTTAATAATTTAAAAAAATAAGATATTTTACATGAACTGTGTTCGCACTTAATTAGTAAACAAAAACTCATATTTTCTTTTATTGTATTTTCAAATTATATTTTGAATGATGCTCGTATTTCTATTTAAATAATCATTTAATAATTTATCATAGAGAAAAAACTTCTTAAATATTTATTTTTATTCTTAATTTTCTCATATCTATTTCATAGTACAATTTTTTGTGATTACTTCAATAGTGAAATTATTTCAAAAATAAAAATTTAATTATTTTAATAATTAGAAAAGTATTTAAAATTATAATATACCTTACTATTTATTACATTTCTGAAACATTAATTCGATATTTCACCAAGATATTATCTTATAGTTAATTCTCTTATAAAATTATTCTTGCTATACGCACTTGATAACAATCTGATTCTTGCTGTTGTGGAGATTGCCGAGTTGCTGAAGTTGATTGCTGAACTAAACCTGATTGACTGAGTGGCATATTCGGTGCCCGTATATTTACCATATTATTTACGGTTCTTGTTACATTGCTGCTTTTGTCCATTTCTTCAAGCTCCGATAAATCATATTTTCGTTTCTTTGGAAGTTTCTTAGCACTGATCGTTGGATCAGACGGATCCCGCTGAGGAGGCACCGGCGGCGGGGGTGGTTGTTCCGGAATAGATTTCTCTTCAATCGAACTGCCGCCACCACCCCCGCCTGCTCCATATTGTCCGCCTCCAAGGGGATCCCGTTTTTCGTGCATCTCAGAGTGAGCAGTCAGCATTTTGGCCACCTCACGCTGCTCTGTAAATTAAGAATAAAATATAAAAAAAATTTTTTTTAGAATTCTATTCATTCTTAAATATTTAAAAAGAATTCTCTTACCATTACTTTTTTATAATCTAAAAAAGTTAGGCAATTTAAAAATTAAGAATAAAAAGAAGAAAAAAAATATAAAGAAATGAAAAGATTAAATTTCAGATGATATAAAAAATAGATGTAAAAAATGAAGAATTTCAATTTATTTTTTATTTATAAATGATTTTATTATTTAATAGAATTAAATATCAATTGAATTTTTATTATAATAATAATGCAATGTATATTCAACTTGAATATAAAATTCAGAACTCTGAATTATTTATATAATATAAATTTCTAATTATTTACATAGATGATTCATAAAAATAATAATATTCATTGCGTTTGTAAATATTATGCATGAATACTAGAATGAATAGATAAATATAAAATTTGATTCATAATCATTAATCTATATTCATTAATCTATAATTTTATAAAACTAATATAAGATAATATTATATATATAAATATTTAAGTATATATGCATTTTTTTAGCTTCTTTGTTTTCTTAATTAATCAATATTATATGTTTTTTTTTTAAGTTAGTAACTGTAAGTTTCAAAATTCAAAGTTTCAAAATATACATAAAAATATAACAAATAGTAAATATATGCTAATATAATTATCAATTTCAAATTAATGCTTTATTTAATTACTATTTCATTTCAATTACCGTCATTGTTTAAAATCTCATATAACTTTATAAAATATTAATAATATAACAATATAGTCTTATGATATTATTTAAAAAAAATAATAAATAATTTCACATAGAAGTTCATTTTTATCTAGTTATATTAATGATGTTATATGTATTTCAAACATTTAAAATTAAGATAAAAGATATTTTTCGAATTGTATATTCAATTTCATATATTCATTATATTTATTTATACTAAAATATTTAGAATGTTTGAACTGCGAATATTTCTAATTTCGATTTCGTAATATTTAAATATACAGTGATGCTTCGTTAAATCACCATTTCATAATTTCTATAAATTTATATTAATAAGAAAACAATAACAATTCTTTACTTTAATTTTCACCAGTAATAATTTTTATATTAAATATAAAACATTTGTAAGTTGTTTCTTTCTAAAAATAAAAATTGAAGAATATTTTTTCTCACTATTGTATTTTACAAACTGAATTCATGTACAATTCATATATTCATTATAATTTTTCATATACACATTATAATTTTTCATAATATAATAATATGCAAAATGATAATTTATTGCATGAAATGGAGATTTATTCTATTTTTATTATTTATTATTATTTTTTTTATTTATTATTATGTTTTTTCTAATAAAAAACATTTTCTATAGTAAACAAATATATTTTTGTTATATCTGTTAATATTGATGATTAAAAAATTTAAACTGATCAATTTAAATATGTAAAAGTCAATTTTATCATGAAAGCAGATATATATTAATTTTCAGTGAAATTATACTATATCTGTGTATATACTATACTTATATTATAAAATTTTTTTAGAAATATTGTACTAAAAAAATAGTGTAAAATTTTTATATATAATATTTCTTAATATAATAATATTAAATATAAAAATAATTATTTATATTTTTTATAAATTTTTTAAAAATAAAACTTTTTAACAAATAAAAATTAATTAATCTCATAGGAAATTCTCAAATTGATTCTAATCTATTATTACTCTGATTCTCAGAAATACAAATGAACTTTGTTTTCAAAAGTGAAAGCGTTATTGTACTTGCAATCCTAACGCTCATCATTTACTTTCCCCAATTCTAATACAAGAAATAAGACCACATAATCCAAATGATCGAACACATTAGTCTTATTCAAATAAATTCATGAGTCATTACACTTCGAAATAATCAAAAGAAAAAAAAAAAGAAGGAGGAGGAGAAAGAACGACTAGTCATCGATTCTTTTCCTAAAACATTCTTCTCTACAAACACGAATAAATAGATTTGTGTAACATTGATATTTTATTTTTAAAAAAACAAAATCAATAAAAAAACTTTTATAAATATTGTGTTTATAGTAAATAATATAAAAAAAATTATTTCATGAAAAACAATATAATAGAAAGTTATCAAAATTCAATTTTAGAAAAAATCGATGTTGTAAGTTTAGCTATTAAATAATATATAATATCTAAAAATTCATAAATAATTTTATGTTACATCATTATTTTGTTAAAAATACATATACAATATTATAATATATATAATAAATTACGATTTCAATAATAATTTACTTTATTAATTTGTAAGTTATTGAAAATGTCATTCTTGATGTTGGACATTCAAATTTATATTTATTGATGTGAGAATAGTGCATTAATAATATACCACAAATTATCGCTTCTTTGAACATAATATTTATATTATATTTCTTAATTGAAATAATTTTGATCATTATTAACATAAAATATCTTTTTACATTAAATAAATAAAATAAATAATAATAATTAATTTTGGTCAATAAATAAATTATATAAAATATTCTATAAATAATTCAGTTTCTTCAATGTATATGTATATTATATATAAATAAACGATTAAGTATTAGTAAATAATCAATAATATTTTATTGTTAAATAATCAATAATACTTTCTTTTATATCTGATATTATATGCCATTCTTTTGTTTCTTATTAATTTCTTTGTTTTCTTTTTTTCATAGAGTATCTATTGTGACAAAATTCATTATTTTAAATTCAGCTTTGAAAAATTGTATTATTTATTTATTTATTGTTATTATTATTATTTTATTTTTACTTAATATATGTAGTTTCCTTTTTAAAATTTTTTTATACCAATATATATTTTATATTTATTTATATTTATATAAATTATAAATAATAATACAAACATTAGTTAATATAGAATATTAGATTTAATATTTAGGTATATCATTTTCCTTTTTTTTATTTCTAATTTATGGAAATAAAACTTTTTAATAAAACTAAAATAAAGATCTGAAAATAATTGATATCGTGTAAAATTCGTGTTTTTTTTTTAGTTCTTCTTGTATTTATTTTTATTTATAGAAAATTAATGACTATCTTTTAATTAAAGGATTAATTATGATTTATATAATAAAAGATTTTAATAAAATGAATGAGAATTTTCTAGTTTTTCTAATATAATATTCTAATATTCTAATTCTAATATTCGAAATATTTCTAAAATTTTTAACAGAAGTATCATTTTTGTTAATACACATACAGAAGTATTTTTATCACTTTTTATTACTAATGTTCCTCTGATTTTTTCGAAACTAAATTGATTTATTTGATTTATTTTCAAATAAAAATGAAAATTGTGATTTTTGAAAAAATCATTTTTAGTTTATTAACCTATTATTAATTTATTAATATAAAATCTATTAATACAAATCAAATTTTTATCAAAAGTAATATTTTTTATATTTACAATTTTCTTTTGTGTATGAAATTATCATTCTATTGTTGCAAAATAAAATATTATAGTTTTAAAATAAAACAAAAAAATTAGATTATGTGACTTTAACAATAGATTTAATATTTCAATCACTTAATATAAAATTTTCTTGAAGAACATCATGATTATTTATTTGATTGATTATTATCCACTTATCTTGATTTATCATTGTTTGATTTGACTTCAATTTTATTTATAATTATATAATTTTAATAAAAATATTTTTAAAAATAGATATTTACAATCATAAATAGTAATATTATTAAAAACACTTATGAATTTAAAATAATATGAAAATAAAAACTTCATTCTAATATCATTTTTACACAGGTATCAAAAGTTGATTTAGAATTTAATATTCTTCATCTGAAAAATATAATTTTTTTTATAATAAAAATGAATTCAATATTGTATATATAGTCTAGTTTTAAATTATAAATATACATATATTATATATATACATACACATATACTTACAGTCTGTACAGTCGAGAGGAGGCTGTGTGCTGAAATGTGGCGAGTTGAAGCTGGGAGGGTGGTGACACCGACTGGGTGCATACCTCAGCACCCGGCTGTCGGGGACAGGATGCGTCGAGTCTGGGCTCTCTCGTCTTTGTCTATCTTGTGACAGGGTTGCTATTCCCTCTCCCAACTCCAATTCTTCTTCCCAGCCCCAACTGCCGAGCATCCTCCTCCGAAAATTCTCTTCTTAGGCGAACACTTTTCTCTTCTTTCTTAATTGTCTCGTACCTCTAGTCAATGTCCTGCATAACAGAACGTGTTTCAAAAAGGTTACTATAGAATTCTGCAAGTATTCGATTCTCACAACGCTTGGGATTATACTTGTCTCGTTTGTTTCGCGACGATCTCTTAAAAGCAACAAAAACTACCAAGACCCCAGGATTTTTATGTTCCAGTAATTTCTCTCTCTCCCTCTCCCTCTCATCTTGTATTATACATCGACGACATGAGTTGTTAACTCCTCCATCTTTTTGTTATAAAGGGTATGGTCTTTAGGATATAAATACAGTTGAGAGTAAAATGACAGAAACAAATGTTTCTCTCTCTCAAATTTTATTCTCAAATGTACTCATAGACCTAATATAAATACATTGAACAAGAATGTTCTTATTTATTAAAATTATGCACATAAATTAAAATTCTTCTTAATTTAAAAAAAAATAATATTAGAAATATTTATACTCAATAAATAATCCGTTTTTTATCTGTTTTTTATTATATATGTAGAATCATTAAATTGTATCAAATAATATAATTATCAAGTTAACTTAATAATTCATCCTTATACTGCTTTTATTTTTTCTTATCAATCATTTTTAACATTATTAAATTTTATTTATTGATATTAAAAAATTTTTTAAATTTCCAAACCATTCATCATATTATCTTTCTAAGTTGTTTGATCGAAAAATAATTCTAATCTTATTCTAATAATATTATTACAAATAGAATTGTAATGACGTAGCAAGATAATAGGAGAGATTAATATTCAAATAGAATAAACCACTAATCTAAAGAAATTAGAACTGATTCTCAAATTACAAGTATGTCTCGATTATCGTTCGCAATGGAAACCACTTTTTCTCTCGAGTTACCGCGGTTTATTATCTGCATCGCGAGAAAAAACCATACTGAAATCGATAAATTGCATCGAGCTGGTCCACTTGCTATGGAACCAAATAAAATTTCAATATTGAACGTTCGATACCATAACTCGATATATCGAACAAGAACTTGTGACGAAAAGTGTTCAATTTGTATAATCAGATTTTACGCATGTCGTTACAAAACGATCCTGAAGCTTATGAAACAACTGTTGATTGCGTTCTTCCAAACATTTCTTTCAAAACTTTTTTCGTTTATATATACGGAAAATTAATATATCAAAAAGAGCATCACAAATATTTTTTATCTAATAATAAATATTAATGTGATATATTTTTGATTAAATAAAATTTATTATATTAAACTAAAGTTACTATGTCGTGAGAAAATATATAAAAAAAAAATTAGAATAAAACATCAAATTCAAATTTGATACTTTTATAAAAGTTACGAAAGAAACTTTTTTGTATACAAATAAAAAAAATGAAGTTAAAAATATTTGATTGCTATATATAAATAATTTGCAAAAAAGAGTTAATTAAAAAAAAAAATACAAGATTTCTCATTACTAATGATGAATATTTTTTAATTGACATTAAAAAAGAAATTTGTTTGAATTGAATATTTGATAATTATATATTCAATAATTTAATATTTTGTATAATTGAAATAAAAATAATTCAAATATAAAATAATCTTACAAGTTATATTAATAATAAATTAAACTAAAATCTCTTCTTTTCTAATATCAATCTTTGTTTGAAACAAAGAATTTATCAACGTGGTAATGCATAAAAAAGTAGTTTGAAGACATTATATATATATATATATATATAAAAAAATACAAA